GTGCACCCTGCCAATGAAACACATATTATTATATGTTGTTGTAAATCAGTGGTGTTATATGTTGCATGTTACTTGGCAAAGTTAAATAAATTAAATTAAAAGAAAAATAAATTATCCTGCAAGCCCACGCAATCGCTAAAAACTCATTAGCTCACTCCCACACAATTAACTTAATCCTAGCTAATTAATCTTAACTAATTTCAACTTACCATGAAACTGGAACACCGTTTCTGATTCAGCGTGGAAACCGTCAACGGGTTCTCCGTGTTGTTGTACTCGTGTCTGATCTGTATTCTCCGCTGGTACGCTTCCCACTCCAACCACTCTATTGCCATTTTTCCACTCCATCTTATCTTGAACCCATCTTCCTCTAACCGTCTTGTGTACTGCCCCGTCGGCATATTCTGCATGATGGCCCAGAGGTACAGTGCATTGGCATCGTATCCAACCACATTTTTGCAGGGTTTCGATTATTTTCTTTGGCTCGCATTTCTTCCTTCCGCATCGATGTTTCCCTTTCTCATGGTACCTGTTAAAGATAATACTTGGGCCCCCTACATTATTGTCTTTCATGGTATAGTACATATCCTTGTCCTTGTCGCTAGGAGAAGGAGAAGTAGGAGAAGTAGGAGAAGTAGGTGCCTGGAATGTTTGAAAACAAGTATTTCATAGTTAAGCCAGGCACACTTACTCCATCCTTAAACATGTCAATGTTTCTTTCTTGCCAAAAATTACTCATTTTCTGGACAGCCTCGAGGAAAGGTACGACATCTAAGTTATTGTACCACACGAGAAAGTCACGGAAAGTTGTCATATTCTGTTCGTTCCATACACGCTCGCAATACTGGTACTGTTCCTCGGTGATATCGGTTCCGGACAGATTGGAATGGAACGTTTCGCGTGGTGGTAGGGTTGGGTTGTTCAACTTTCCAAGGGAATCAACCCACTCGTAAGCGAAGTAGCCTTTTGTCTGGGAACACTCGTAAGCCTTGAGGAACTGTTCGTAACTGAAACCGGGGGCCAAGTAGTTTGTGATATCGAGAAACTTTAAGTGTTGCGTCTTAAGACACATGTGGTTATTGTTTCTCTTTATCACAAACTTAACTTGCTCGTGTTTCACTAGGTAAGAGAAGAATGGGTTCTTAGCAGCATTTATATCGTACTTGCCCGAGTTGAAGCCGATCACAGGAAGTTCCATCAAGTAAAGTTCCAACTTCTCGACCAACTTTTCCAGTGGGTGCGTTTTTTCTGCTTCGGACTCCTACAACATACGGAAGGTTAATAAGTAAAATAAAAAAAAATTAAAAATAAAGTCTGGTAAAATCATACCTCATTCACTTCGTCCCCAACCACTTCGCCATCACTTACTTCCCTCTCCTGAAAATATACAGCATAATAAGTACAAATATTATAAACATCTAATAGACCAAATATATAGTTTACCTCACTATTCAGCCCCATCAGACATCCCACCATTTCCTCTATCATCTGTTCCTCTGTATTTTGCTAAAACATAAGATATATTAGAATATAAAGAATATAAGTGCAAAAATAACCTTCCTATAATTTACCTCATTATCCTCCCCCGCGGCAACTTCCATAATCTCAGCGTTTTCCCCCACCTAAAGATATAAGAAAAATATTAAGGATAAGAAATATACTAACAATCTAATACGTGTGAATTATACCTGATTAACTCGTTCCTCAATTTGACGAAACACATCCGCAAACAGATCCAACAACAAGACATAACTTTCTTGACTAATTTTTACCAAATATTCCACGAATTCTTGGATCATTTTACTCGTGTCACCAGAGGAAACAAAGCACTTGGGTTCGGTGTAGCCAGGGACGTTCGAACATACAGAGACACTCAACGGAATATGTTCGGCTTGCCACGTGAGTTTTTCGGTGTTTCTTGAACGGTTAGATGTATGTTTAAAATAACATTCAAAGTCGAAGGTGACGCGATAAGGGAAGTACTTGAGGTCTTCAGGGATTTCGATTCCTTCATCGGCCAACAAGTCGAAGATAGATTGTGGAACTTTGTAGGCACCACCAGGGAAGATATGACGTATACTTCCATCACAGGTTCGCTCGTGCTTGTTCAAGGCTTTGGCCGTTTTCCACATTTTGTCACATTTGCAACAACAGTAGGACTTGGAATACATGGCCAAATTCTTAATGTAGCTGAAATGGCTACCATATAGGTTGAGGTACATCGAATTGGCATATCTACGGTGAGATCGTTGAATCAGTTGAGCCACAATGGAGGTCGTGTCGTTGTCCTCATCATAACATTCCACGAGCCGATATACAAAAATGTTCAACTCGAATAACTTTTCTAGTTCGGGCAATTCTTCCAACGTTACACCGTCAAAGTCGTCACTATCGTCATATTGTTCATAAAAATGCTGAGTATCACGTTCTAAATTTTTGGAATGACATCCACGGTGTAGGGCCAAACAACGAAAGAAGCATAGTTTGTCTTCGTATGGCAAGCCTGTGTTATCATCACAATCCAACGACACAATGGCAGGATTATCCAGTATGTATTTGGGTAGTCGGACACTGCGGCCTATGGGATGGTCTCGAAGTTTGGTGACGTAGAAGGTAACGTTGGTGAAATCCATGACAATCCATTTGGAGTTGGGACGCTGTTGTCGAGCCCATTCATGAATGTCGATGTTTTCCAACGCTCTACGCACTTGGACCAAATCCTCATGGTTATGGATTTGGAATGGGGAGTCGAAAACACGGTTGTTATTTGCTGAGGGGTGGTGATATTGCATTTGTTGCGTCTCGTTGTTAAACAATACGAAACCAAAGGAGAGGTTTAACTTAAAGACCGTGGTTTGATCTTCAAATATACGGTCTATATCGTTGACAAGTTGACCCATATTCGCTGAGCTTAGACGATAGTTGTACCAATCTTGCACTCGGTTGCCTCGGCTTTGTCGCGTACGTATAGCACGCCAATGATCTCGGTGAAGTTGGGAAGGCAGGTTAGATGGGGGTAATAGGGGGTCTTGAGGGAACGGTTGGGGTCCTATAGAAATAACACCCGATTCTTTATTTTTGTCTAGAGCTTCGCACTAATTTTGTCATACAAACACCCGATTCATAAAAAATCGACATAAGTCTAACATGAATAAATTAGTAACATGCAAATTTCACATAGCAACATGATAAACCCACGCAACAAAAATTATTTTTACCTCACTATAAAACGCTAGCGAATGTTACTAAATGATAAATACTCGTACAATGACATAAATTAATAGTTCTAAAGCAAATGAACATAAGTCTAACACGAATAATTAGGAACACTCCACACTATAAACCCACGCTTAAAAGTTACTCGAATATTTTTATCAGGTTTTCAAAACACAAACAGTGAAACAACATGAAAACAGCATGAAAATATTTTTCAAATGTAAACGTTAGGATTTCAGGCAATGTTTTAAAACCGAGTAATTAACATTGTCAATATACACATCAAATCACCACAATCAATATACTATATACGGTATAAAAAAATTGAATTTCATACCTTCGTTGACGACTGTAGACGTAGATGCCCCTGAAAAGGAGAAAAATGTATTAGTATGATTTTAACTCAAATTATTAATTACACAGAATATACTCTCTTACCTTCGTTCACCGATGTCGAAGATGTTGGCGGTTCTTAAAAGAGAAAAAATATCTGTATAAATACAAAATTAGTAATCGAAATATTTTCATTTATACATACCTGATTCATCAGTTCTTTGCCTTTTTGTTCGCCCGGTCGACGTCTTGGTACGTTTCCCACCACCAACCTGATGAACATCCCGCTGATGGGCTTGTAAGGGGAATATATTTCGAAACACCTCACCACAATCATTACAAGTATACTCCCTTTCGGCGCCTCTTCGTTCGTGCATTTTCATGTGGCGGCTCAAATCATCCTTGAAATAATATAAGTAGATATTATTAGCTTAAAATACTTTACTATGTTCCGAAATATATCCCTGTAAATTACGTACCTTTCGATTAAACGTTTTATGGCAACGCGAACACTTATGGTCTTTGTCACTGTGAGTTTTCATATGTCGGTTCAAGTCATCCTTGAATTAATATAAATAGATATTATTAACTCGAAATACCTTACTACGATTTGAAATATATCCCTGTAAATTACGTACCTTTCGATTAAACTTTTTGTGGCAACGCGAACACTCGTGGTCTTTGTGACTGTGAGTTTTCATATGTCGGTTCAAAGCATCCTTGAAATAATATAAATAGACATTATTAACTCAAAATACTTTTCTAAGTTTTGAGATATATCCCTGTAAATTACGTACCTTCCGATTAAACGTTTTATGACAACGCGAGCACTCATGATCTTTGTCACTGTGAGTTTTCATATGCCGGTTGAGGTTGTCCGAACGCGTAAATACGCGACCACAATCATTACAACATAACCCAGACTTCTCCGATTCTTCTTGCCAGTCATTCCATTCAGATAGAACTTGCTCTTGCGTCTCTGGCGACCAGGACTCGAACATTTCATCAGTAGCAACGGCGCAAAGCTGGCGATTGAGTTCGGCATTCTCGAGATCGGAAATGAATTGATTTCTCCTGAAAATATAGAAATGAATTACATAAACAAAACTCTCGATATTATATTAATTTTCAGTTTAAATCAAACTTACAAAATATTCTCTCGATGTTGTTGTGCCATTTTCTTCCAAGTACTTCTCTCCGAATATAAATTTAACAAAATCAGCTACCCAAAAGAACTCCAGTAAGAGCGTTGACAAATGTAGAACTATGCCTATTACAAGACGCTTGTCGATTTTATACAGACGCTCGTTAAATTAAACAACCAATCATAGTAAGCCAACATTAATCCCTCCATTGTATCATACATGAGGAGGGACGCTAAAAAATGCGTAGTCAGCAAGTTTCGCCCGTTCGTGTTTAAGCTTGCCCGCGTGACGTCATTACTTGCCTAATCCTACCCGCGTGACGTCATTGCATGTAATTATGACGTATGCTAATGATGATGAACCGCCCCACGCCGCCCCGCGCCGCCCCACGCCGCCGCCGCACTCCACCGCCGCAAAAATAAGGCTGGAATACTAATTACCCTCCACACTCCACCGCCGCACTCCACCGCCGCAAAAATCCGGGTCGATCGGCCTCTATATTACTACTAGGGGCTCTGCTATTATTAGCTTAATAGAGGATCCATAATCAGAAAACCCGGAATTTCGGGAGCCAGAGTATGCCTGTTCGCAGGTAGTGCTGTGAATAACATTGTTAACAACAATAATCATGACCAAAGACACGAAAAACGGATCAAAATTGTATTTTAAAATACTTAAAACATGGAAAAATTGGGAATCGACTCGCATTACCTTAATCCCATTCCCATTTTTGAGGACTTCATTTCCAATCCCAGTGCCCAAATCCCAGTCCCAGCAACGCAAATCCCATTTTCCAGTCTAAAAATAGATCAATCCCTGTTCCCATTTTATCCCTTCAGGAACCTCTTAATAATATTATATAAAAATATTACTCGACTGTGATTGGTTGATTTCAGTGCATTTAATCCCAAACAGCAGTGCAAAAATCTGTAACAACAGTACAAAAATATGTAACAACAGTGCAAAAATCTGTAACAAATTGATCTGATTGGTGGAAAAACATTGCGATGACAAAATCAACCAATCAGTTTAAAGCAGTTTATGATTTAAAGAAGTAACGGTCACAGATTGCTTCAAAACAGAACAAACATGGCGCCGCGCTACATAAAGTAAAAGTTGACTTCGCGTGGAAAATATGGCTTTTCTCTTTATTTTTAAATGGAAAAACCTCTGCCTTAAACAAGACTAACAAAACTTACACTGTTGAGTGGAATTTTCAAGTGTTAGCGTTGTAGAATGTGATATAACAAAGCCAAGAAAACTTTGTCAGTGCCCAGTGGAATGTTCGCTGTAAACGCGTAAGTTAAAACTACAATTGTCTCGAACATTTTTATGTAAATTATTAGTGTTTCTCGTGAAATTTGGATAAACATGTACTCGTGAGTTTTTCAAAGACCTCAAATAGCACTCGTCCTTTGAAAAACTCAATCGTGCATGTTATATCCAAATTGCACTCGAAACCATGCTATTACCTATACAAATACATAAATTATGCAATCTCATGTCTAATCCAGATTAATTCCAACATATATTTACAGTTCAGATATGTAATGTTGTTTAATTCTACTTTCAAAACTAGGTAAGGTTAGAGAATTCTTAATTTCAGTTGGTAGCTCATTATAGTCTTTCCGGCGCCCCTTGAAATCTGAAAATTTCTTACCAAGTTCGCTATTTATTCTGGGTAATACAAAATTTTCCTTACGTCTTGTATAGAAAATATGAATATTAACGTTTTTGACAAAATAATTATCAAGATAAGTTCATGCAATACCGTTTACAATTTTATGAATTAAAATACATCTATGAACTTTCTCCTTGTCGAAAGATGGGGCCACTTGAGCGAAGGGAAGCAATTTTCTGTTCGATTACTTTTAACAACAATACGTGCTGCTCTATTTTGAAGTCTTTGCATTTCAGTATTGCATGTTCGTAACATCGCTCCCCAACTTATATCAGTCAAATATTGGTTGTATTATAGCGTTATAGACACATTTTGCTGCCCAAAGTGTTAGGGAGTTTCTAGTTTGAGATAACAATCCTAATCGTTTCATTACTTCCCTCCAGCTGATTCCGCGAGCTCTCGCCATGTAATACATTGATAAGAAATGATACCCAGATATTTAAACTTTGCGACACGCTCAATTTCCTGTCCCCTTGAGCATGCACCCGATCAGCACGTTTGACGCCGGCTGACAGTCGGAAATTTTGTCTCCGATTACTCGGCTGCCAGCCGGGCTGTACTATAGTATATACTATTCGTTCAAAAAATGCGCGCATTTTGGAGACTGGTTCTAGAATGTTTTCATAAGCAGAAAACCACCAAAATTACATTAAATTTTCCGAAAATCATCGAAATGCATCTAAATTCATCTTGTCAATGCATACAGCTAGTTATGCGACAGGTAAATAAACAAGAGAGAAAAAAATACGGCAAAGAGAAAAATTCAAATTTGTTTGCGCTCACTATGGGACTCGAACTCATGAAGTATAGAATATTAGCTGCCCTCCGACCCTTTGTGCAAGGTTTTCGATATTCAAATTGCACTTTTCCTACTTATTGAACAGGCGTCTTAGGAACTGTTTACATGTTGGAAGCCTTGGTGATTTTAATGTATTGAAATTATAAGTTACTAACTAAACAAAAGTTCAAATCCTGATTAGCAGAACTGAAATGTTGTAGAGAAGATCTTGTAGTTCGAGAAGAGTATTATTGCTGCTTGCCAACAATCTTTCGTTTACAGTTAACGTACTATAATCTATCTCTAGTTTTTTGCTGAATCGTACACCGTAACTTATTTCAATCCCGCCTCACATCTCTTCCCGGTCAAAAGGGATCATATAAACAACACCTTAATTATTCAGCAAATGGTGCATGCTGCCTTTCGAACCCTTGGAGGTACCTTTGATCCTTTGTGGCAGCACTTTCCTTGCCATAGTAACTCCTAGTAATATATTTCAACAACACACAACATGCTGCGCGGACAGCAAATTTGATGTATAATTATAAGGCATTGAGACGCTTGTATATGATCCACACCTAAATATGCTAGAATGTGCTCGAAATGTTGGACTAAAAATAGCTTCTCTATTCAGAGTTCGCTATTATGTATTTTATACCTGTATACACTAGTTTACTTGCCGCCGGTAAGCGCAGAATTTAGCATAGCAATATTATTAGTCATAAGTTAAAGGTCATTATAATTACGTAACACTATATATTCATAGTTTAGATTCTTTTCAGGAAACAAATTTTTCAAAGAAAACGTCTAACTTGAAACCACGGAAAAAACATATGGAGCAAAAGGTCATCTACAAAATTCCATCTGCAAATTTCCATAACGTCATGCGCTTCAAAGAAAAGAGTTCGGCAACAGTTTTGCGCAATTTTTGTGCTTGTTTATTTCATTTTGCACTGAATGCATCATGGACTACCGTCACAATGCAACCTGTCAGCGAAACTTTGGAGAAAAGACACGCTACAAATTAAAGTACAACATTAATATTTTCAACACGATTGCGATTTGCAATTATTCGTCCAATAATTGTTTATTGGTTCGGTTTTAAAGATTCAATCGCAATTGTATTACAACCGTATATATTTATTGCTTGATTGCTAGGCTGATTGTCAACATTAATATTTCAATTGACGCCTTGTCGGCGGCATGTCCAATGAGGCAATGGTGCTGTTTATTGCAGACATGTGGAAACAGGTTTGTAAATGAATCTCGCAAGACTCCCTCTTTGCCTCCGATTGTGCTATTACGCTTCTTTACTTCGGTGTTGTTGAGCATTCTGTGAAGTCTCACAGATGTCAGTTAGCGTTAAAAAAAAACTCACTTCCCTTATGGTCGTTTGAGCATTCTGGCCCCATTGCATTCTGCGCATGCCTGGATACATTTGTGTCTTTGTGTTGTACCCATTGAGCTATACTATATTACTGGAGGACCTGCTCGGGAGAAAAAAGTGAAGCCGAAAACATGGCGGATCTTACGCCATTTCCATGACAACACTTACTTTATTTTCATGGTAACTGCCACTGACCAACCGCGATCCTAAGCTTCCGACAATGTCCTTAACCCCCCTGGTTTTGGCAAATATTACGATATGAATATAAAGTTTTCTGTTGTTTTAATGTTTTTGAGCTAAAAAATCTTAATATTTCCCTCGAACATTACTTGTTTTACAACGCGGAGCGAGGGTGCGGGTTTGCTTCGCTTGTGGATGCAGCATTTCACTACAAAGAAAGACTAATTCTTTCAGGTAAGTTCACGGAACTTTTTTACAACTTTCTAGACGGCTAGAGCCTAGAGTCACTAGACCCTTCACATATTATGTCAAAAACTCATCCTAATATATACAGCAAATATTTCAATAGGGGACAAAAACGTATTGTTGACGATTAAACATTGTGTACATGAAATTATGTTGTTTTGTTTCAGCACTGGCCTTTGTGGTTTTATTGCCAGACTGTCAGTTTTTAATTTATACTAAAAATTGTGGTTGTTAATTTACATGTTCATATATTTTAAAACGTTTATTAAATATGGTGTGAAATTTATATACTTTCCCATCACAGTGCAGAATTAGTATGTATAGATAAGCACAAGACCAGAGAGAGTTGAGCCGTAGTGGAGGCCCACCTACATGTGACAATGCATGTGCCCAGTGCACTGTCCTGATTGATGAGCCCTATATATAAAGACTGTGTTTATTATTTTACTCTGTCTGTCTATTAAAATTCCAGACGATTTTAAGGAGATTGAGACTGTTCCCTGCCCACTCAGTGAGCTTTGGCAGGGGTTAGGCATTTGGGTTAAAGCCTTTCTCACAAAATAGGAGGGTTGAAGCAGAATTTTAGTGCGGTTGAACACTTTATTAGAGGGGTTTAACCCCCCCCCCCCCAAGTAAATCTGCCCATGATTTCTAACATTGGGAGTAGTGATGTCCGATTGGCCATGACACAGCCTGTGAGAAATTATGATGAAATTTGCTCATAATAGTTAAGTTTGACATATTTTAGCAGTTAGTTAGG